ATTTATGTATTTTATTTACCAATAAATATTTTGGCATCTGTATAGTCATATTAATTGTGACTAATGACAAATAGATGGAGAAAATACATTCACTAAAATTTCACATTGAGATGCTCATATGGTTTTCTGGTAAATTACATTTATTGATTATTAAATGTTAAATCACATTGCATTTCTGGACTAAATCCAATTTTGTCAGTGACATATTACACTTTTTATATATCACTGAATTCAGTTTGCTCATATTTTTTGCAATAAAGTTCACGAATAAGATTAGACTATATTTCTTCCTTGTCCTATCCATGTCAATTTTTGTATCAATTTTGGTAACAAAGTTTTATACTGATCTGAAAAAACAACCTAGGAAATATTCCCTTTTTCTGTTCTTGGAAGAGTTGTGTAAGACTGGTGAATTACCTTTTGGTTTTCCCCAAATATTTGATAGGATTCACTGATAAAACCATATAATTTTCTTTGTGAAAAGATTTTTAAATAAAGATTTGCTCCTTTTACTATTTATAAAATTATCCACATTTTCTATTTGTTCTTGTATCAATTTTGGTAATTTATACCTTTCTAGAATTTGTCTGTTTAATCTCAGTTTTCAAATTTATTGGCAGCAAGTGATGCATAGTATTTTTCACTTATGATTTTATTGTGTCTCCAGGTTAAATCATTCCAGATATGATCTGTATCATCTCTCTTATTTTTTTTCTTGAACAGTTTCGCCAGTGGCTATTTATTGAGTGTTTCTTTTACATTTTATTGATTCTGAGTTCACCTTTCTTTTTCTATTCTTCTGTCTCTTGGAGGGGGTTACTTTTTCAAACTCCTTAGTATGACTTTGATTTTTAGCTTTTCTTTTCTAATATGCTTTAAGGCTATGCATTTCTTTTTAAACATAGCTTTAACTTCATTCTGTGAATTTTACTGAGTAGCATTTTCATCATTATTCAATTTTAAATATTTTCTAGTTTCCATATTGATTTCTTCTTTGAACTATAGGTTATTTAGAAGAGTATTTCTTAACATATATACTGTTGAAGATTCCCTAGTTTTTTGTTGTTGTTAATTTCTAACTAAATTACATAATTATGGTCATAGGATATACTCAATGTCTGTATTTTTTAATTTGTTGACTCACTGTTTGATCAATTGTATGCTATAATTCTTAGTTATGGTGTTTTATTATGTGTCAATTAGATCAGTTCTGTTTATTTTATTGCTCACACCTTCTATATCTTTACTCATTTTTTTTCTTCTCGTTCTACCAATAATTCTGCGCAATTGTTATGAATTTGTCTATTTCTACCTTTTATTTCTGTCAATGGTTGTTTTATGTATTTTAAGATGATGTGATTAAGTGCACATAAATCTAGACTTGTTATATCTTCCCAGTGAATTCAACCTTTCATCTTTATGAAGTATTCTTTATTTCTGGTGATACTTTTTTTTCTTAAAACCTATTAGTTACACCAGCTTTCTTTTGGTTGTGTTTCCATGGCATGTCTTTATATATATA